GGCACTGGTTTCGTCCTGAAAGAAAGAAAGCGGCCAACCATCACATCGCATGACTAGATACATTGCTACCTTTGAATTACAAAGAGCTATCTCAGCGCGCTCATATGGCCTTATGCAGTTGCGATCGCCGTAAAACTCTAGTGCAGTTGCGAGTGCCGTAAAACTCTAGTGCAGTTGCGAGTGCCGTAAAACTAACAAAACAAAAGAGCTATCTGCTGCTCAGTACTCACTTGAAAGAAACTTGAGGTTAAAGATTTTGAGGTCACACTAAGTCAAGCTTTTTCGAATATAATTTTTTGAATATTTTGATTTAACGACTCCGAATAATCTTACGATTTTGATAGAGCAGATAAAATATTAGGTTTCTGACCTCATGGTTTTAGTGACTCAAAACAGCTTTAAAAAATTCAGACAAAACTTTGCTATTCTAGAGTAACGAAATGGTCACAGAAATATTCAATGAACTATCTAAGCAATTATCCAGGTAAGTAAATAATATGTTCAACTTCTTCTCTTGAAAAAGTGTGGCCACATGACACAACGATTTGATACCCATCTCCATATTGCATAAAGACACAGTATTCAAAGATTATGTAGAAGACATGATAATTCATATCATTTGATACGCAGAATATTGTCAAACTCGAAAGATTCTACTTCAATGCCGCGACATGACGTCATACGAGACCACAATCTGAAATCTAACTTGAAATGCGCTCAGAGGTTATTCTCAAATAGGTGAAACATGAAACGAGAGGATGAAGATGTGAAAACTGACAAAAGGAAATGTTTGGCAGCGTGGTGGAATCAGGCTCTCGTCAATTTTTGGGCAAGTAGAGCTATTGGTATCATCTTAAAGCTTGTTCACTTGTCTTTATTTGGATGGAAAAAAATATCCCTTTATCTTGAATACAAGTCGAGATATTTGTGTAAGAAGGAGGTAGGGGTCACTTGTTTTCAGAGGTAAAATTAGTGAGAAAATGGCCGCCAAAGATTAGTTATTTCCTTTGCTTAAGAGACCGTGGAAACTGAAAATTAACATTTTTTGTGCCTTTAATCCACACAGAAATGAGTTCTTAAATGGGCATGAAAGGTGTTGAGCCAAAAAGCAAAATTTGATAAAAATTCACAAACCTGCGGAAAAATGCAAGTTTCTTCACATTGATTATTTTGACGAGAGCCTGATTCCACAACGCTGCCTCACAAATGTTTGGTGTCGTTGTGAAATCAGGCGCTCGTCAAAATAATACAGTCTAGAAAATAAACATTTTTTTCCCTCCTTAAACATTCTTTATCGGAATGCTTTTCGAGGATCAACTCCTTTTATGTCCTTCTAAAGCACATTTCTGAGCGGATTTTACTTTCAGGAAATTATGATCAAAAGCATAAAATATGAACAATTATTGCAGTTTCCAAGGACTCTCAAATTTTGGAAATCACCAAACTGTAGCGACCAGTTTCTGGATATTTTTACCTCTGAAACCAGGCATCCCCTACCTCATTAGATATCAAATATCCCGACTTTCTATTCAAGATTGATGGATATTTCAGTGCCCAAAAGCAAGACAAATGAACAGGTTTTACGATTATACCAACAACATCATACGCCCCAAACTGACAAGCGGCTGATTCCTCCGTGTCGTAACACAATGAATGAAGGTACCTTCCGAACTCATTTGCCTCCTTAAGCGTATCTGGCAGTTTGGTGTATCTTGTCTCCGGCAACCACAGAGACATCAGTCCTGCCAGGAGGGATATGCCCCCGAATATGACCAGAGGGAGGAGCCGTCCTACATTCCCACCGACTGTTACACTCTGGGGGAAGACAGCAATAAGCAAACATGGTACACACATCCACAACAACAGCAACAACAACAACAACAACAACAACAATA